ATTATTATATACTTATTATATTCACATTTTGGTGCTATTAGGTTTAGGGTTTTAGGGCTAGGGTTTCTCTTCTTCGTCTCTCTAAAGATGGCAATGGAGGAGATCACGGACGCAGTCGGGAGCCTCAACATCAGCGACGGCCACAAGAAGAACAGGATCCAGGTCTCCAACACCAAGAAGCCCCTCTTCTTCTACGTTAATCTCGCCAAGGTTTATGAAAATTTTCGAATTTATTCTCTTTCTAGTTTTCTGAAGTTTTTTTTCCCTCCCCGTCTTATTTGATGTTTTTGTTGTGTTTTCAGAGGTACATGCAGCAGCACAATGAGGTTGAGCTATCTGCTCTTGGGATGGGTATTTTTTCTAACTCTGGCTGTTCTTAGTGTTCTTTGTTTGTGTAATTTTTGTGCTTTGAGAAATTTTTCCTTTTAGGGGGTTTTCTGATTTTGAGCCAGAAAAGTAAAATGGTGGTTCTGGTTTTAGTGGTTTTAGGAAAATATTGCGGCGGTGGCTGTAAGAGTCAATTACTTTGTTTATAGTGGTCTGTGCTGCTTATACATTTTATGAGTACATCTAGATGTATGTTTTCTTCACATGCGTGCATTAAGGGTGTGCTCGGATGTAGTGTAGCAAACATCAGACATTTCTTTGGTTTGTCGTTCATTTTTGTGATCAATTTTTTTTAATGTTTGGTTAACCCATATTTAGTCATAATAGGAGCCCGATTGGTCTGCCCGATTTGTCTGAAGAAGATAATTGCAAAATGTTAGTCTTATACCCAAAATAGGAATTTCCAAAAATCACGACTTTTAGGATGCTGAGGAGTCCCTTATCTGTAATACCTAAGCACTTGGTAAAAAATGAAAAATCTCTCTCCTAGAATGTGGGCATAGAAATATTTGTTACGTGGAAGTAGGTACTGGTACATGCAAGGGTAGGGTACTTGAACATGACTATATGTGCGTGTGTGTGCGTGCGCATGCGTGTCACTGTATATCGAGATTAATAATTTACGTGAGACCAATGTTGTTTTTTCCAATATATGTCTGTGTGTGTGTGTTTGTTTGTTTGTTTGTGTTGAGATTAATAATTTACTTGAGATCAGTGTTGTTTTTTTTCCATTAACATGTTATGAGAAGTGTAGGATATACATCCAAGAAGTGCATGATTGTCAGCATGCAGCCAAGCCTTAGCCGATTTCTTTGAAAAAGTAATTGGAATGAGCCCCACTTCACTTCAAATCACCGAAAGGCAGCAGCAAAGGTTGAAGAGTAAAAAGAAAACAAAATGGCGGGGCCCACTGCTACATTAAAATATTAATATTTTATTATGCATAGTATTTTTCAAAAAACTATAAATAGGGCTCCAAATCCTTAAGGAAATCTAATCCCAGAACAGCTTCTTATATAAGAAGAGTGAGAGAGAAAAAATAGAGAGAGTTTCTCTTTGTAAAGAGAGAGAGTTTGTAACTCCAGAGTTTTCTCCTCATAGTGGATTCTTCTATCCTTGCCCGTGGACATAGGCAATCAAGTGTCGAACCACGTAAATCTGTGTGTTTAATTTGTTATCTCTACTTTTGCTCTACTATTGCTGCGATCCTGCTCTATTAGGTCCCGAGTTTGTCCCAACAAGTGGTATCAGAGCCAACTTAGGGTACTTGTATATATCTACTTATCGTATGCTCTGTGGTTGCCACCAAAGGTGGATCCTCCACATCAAAAAATAAGTTAGGTTATCATTTACCATTTGGAGGTGATTGGTACTATTCACGAGTACGGTACTGTTCACAAATATGGTACTATTCACAAGTACGGTACTATTTACGGATACGATTTCTGTTCATAAATATAGTACTATTTACGTAAAATAGTAAGAAGTTATTATTCGTGGTAGAAGCAATGACGACGAAGTTCAAGATCGAAAAATTTGACGGGAGTAATTTCTCTCTGTGGAAGTTGAAGATAAATGCTATCTTGAGAAAAGATAATTGTCTAGCGGCTATTGGTGCAAGGCCGGACGACATCACAGATGATAAGAAGTGGAACGAGATAGACGAAAATACTATTGCAAATCTCCATCTGGCATTAGCAGACGGGGTGCTGTCAAGCATAGAGGAGAAAAAGACAACAAAGGAGATCTGGGATATTCTAACAAAGCTATATGAGGCGAAATCCATGCATAATAAAATCTTCTTAAAAAGGAGACTTTACACTCTGAGGATGGCGGAATCTACATCGATGACCGACCACATCAACCCTAAACACACTGTTCTCCCAACTCACAACGTTGGGGTATACAGTTGGTGCGAATGAACGTGCAGAACTTCTACTTCAGAGTCTACCTGACTCGTATGATCAACTCATCATCAACCCGACAAATAACGTCCTTACGGATAATCTAGTCTTCGACGATGTTGCAGCCGCTGTTCTGGAGGAAGAAAATCGGCGCAAGAACAAGGAAGACAGGCATGCAAGTTCGCAACAAGCGGAGGCCTTATCGGTGACGAGAGGAAGATCAACGGAACGTGGCTCCAGTGAGAGTCATACCCATGGTAGATCCAAATCAAGAAGTAAGAAGAATGTTAAATGCTACAACTGTGGCAAAAGAGGGCACGTCAAATCGGAGTGTTGGCACAATAAGAAGAGTGGAAAGAAAAAGTTTTCAAAGCCATCAACATCTCAAGGATGCGTTGTCAGCACATCAGACGATGGTAAAATTCTATTCAGTGGAGCAACCACTGTTGATGAAGGCAGAAAGAGGTTTGCTGATGTCTGGCTTCTGGATTCAGCAGCCTCTTGGCACATGACCTTTCGGAGAGAATGGTTTCACAAATATGAACATATCTCAAGAGGATCTGTATTCATGGAAAATGATCATGCCTTGGAGATTTCTGGTATTGGCACTATCAAAATCAAAATGTTTGATGGTATAATACGCACCATTCAAGATGTGCGACATGTGAAGGGCTTGAAGAAGAATCTATTGGCTTTGGGACAATTAGATGAGCTCGGATGCAAAACTCATATCGACAATGGGATCATGAAGATTGTTAGAGAAACGCTTGTGGTGATAAAAGGAGAAAAGATAGCTGCAAATCTGTACATGTTCAAGGGAGAAATCATGCAGGAAGCTGATTCATGTGTGGTATCAACCAGCCGTGGAGAAGAACAAACCATGATGTGTGGCATCGCAAGCTAGGCCACATGTCAGAACGAGGCTTGAAGGTTCTCTCCGATCAAAGCTGCTTCCTGGTCTTAATTCAGTAGCTCTTCCATTCTACGAGCATTGTGTTACAAGCAAGCAGCATCGATTGAAGTTCAACACATCGAGTTCTAGAAGCAAAGCTATTCTGGAACTGGTTCATTCTGATGTATGGCAAACACCAGTTACATCCTTAGGAGGAGCAAAATACTTTGTGTCCTTTATTGATGATTACTCCAGGAGATATTGGGTGTATCCTATCAAGAAGAAGACGGATGTGTTCTCAGTCTTTAAAGCCTATAAAGCGCGGGTCGAGCTTGAATCTGAGAAGAAGATCAAGTGTTTGAGGTCAGATAATAGAAGAGAATACACAGATGGTGAATTCCTAGCATTCTGCAAGCAAGAAGGCATCAAAAGACAATTCAGTACGGCTTATACTCCACAACATGGAGTGGCGGAGCGGATGAACAGAACTATGTTGGAAAGAACAAGAGCTATGTTGGCAACTGCAAATCTGGAAAAAGTCTTTTGGGCGGAAGCAGTAAAAACCGCTTGTTATGTGGTGAATCGATCTCCATCAACTGCAATACAATTGAAGGCGCCAATGGAGATGTGGACTGGCAAGCCAGCTGATTATTCCAACCTCCATATATTTGGATGTCCAGTGTACGTAATGTACAATGCCTAAGAAATTACAAAGTTGAATTCAAAATCCAGAAAATGCATATTCTTAGGGTATGCTGATGGAGTAAAATGGTATCGCATGTGAGATCCCACTGCCCGCAAGGTTATCATCAGCAGAGATGTTATCTTTGTAGAGAAACCAACTACAAAGTGAAGAGAAAAAAAGCAGTTCGAGGAAGGACTCAGAGACTGTAGCTGTTCAGGTAGAAGATAATCTGAATTCTTCTGAAGCAACACCGGAGCGTGATGTACAAGAATCGGTCGAGTCCGAGGCTCCAGAAGTTCGAAGGTCAACTCGTGAGAGAAGACCACCGACTTGGCACTCGGAGTATATTACGGAAAGTAATGTTGCATACTGTCTTCTAACAGAAGATGGAGAGCCATCAATTTTTTATGAAGCTATAAATAGTACAGATGCATCTTTGTGGATGGCATCAATGCAAGAAGAAATTGAAGCTCTCCATAAGAACAAGACTTGGAAACTTGTGTCACTGTCACAAGGAAGAAAGACCATTGGAAACAAATGGGTCTATAAGATCAAGCGAAACGGCGATGATCAGGTGGAGCGATATCGTGCTAGATTGATGGTAAAATGATATGCTCAGAAAGAATGTATTGATTTTAATGAAATATTTTCTCCTGTAGTTCGATTAACAACAGTCCGAATAGTCCTGACTATGAGCGTTATATTTGACTTACATCTAGAGCAGCTAGATGTGAAAACAACATTTCTTCATGGAGATCTTGAAGAAGAAATTTACATGCTCCAACCAGAAGGTTTTAAAGAAAAAGAAAAAGAGAACTTGGTTTGTAGATTGAACAAATCTCTGTACGGTCTAAAGCAGGCGCCGAGGTGTTGGTATAAGAGATTTGATTCATTCATCATGAGCCTTGGATACAACAGACTTAATTCAGACCCTTGTGCATATTTTAAGAGGTTTGGTGAAAATAACTTTGTTATCTTATTGTTGTATGTTGATGACATGTTGGTTGTAGGCCCTAACAAAAATCGTATCCAAGAATTAAAGGCTCAGTTGGCTAGGGAATTTGAAATGAAGGATTTAAGATCTGCAAATAAGATTCTAGGGATGCAAATTTACCGAGACAGAATTAATAGGAAGATTTGGCTTTCTCAGAAGAACTATTGAAGAAAATCTTGCGACGCTTTAACATGTAAGATTGTAAGTCAATTTCTACCCCACTTCCTGTTAATTTCAAGTTATCCTCCAGTACGAGTACCGTATGCATCAGCAGTGGGAAGCTTAATGTTCGCGATGATTTGTACAAGACCAAACATTGCACAAGCAGTGAGAGTGGTTAATCGATACATGACGAATCCTGGTAAAGAACATTGGAATGCTGTAAAGAGGGTTCTAAGATACATTCAAGGAACCTCAAATGTTGCATTATGTTACGGGGGATCTGATTTTATTGTCAGTGGATATGTTGATTCTGATTATGCACGTGATCGTGATAATAGCAAATTTACCACAGGCTATGTGTTTGCACTTGCTGGCGGAGCTATAAGCTGGGTTTCAAAACTACAGTCAGTTGTGGCTACTTCAATAACAGAAGCAGAATATGTAGCAGCTACACAAGCCAATAAAGAAGCGATGTGGTTGAAGATGGTGCTGGAGGAACTCAACTATGAACAAAAGAAGATATCTTTATTTTGTGACAGTCAGAGTGCTTTGCATTTGGCAAGAAATCCAACATTTCATTCAAAGACCAAGCACATTCGAGTTCAGTATCACTTCGTTCGTGAGAAAGTGGAAGAAGGAATAGTAGATATGCAGAAAATTCACACCAAGGACAACCTAGCAGATTTTTTGACAAAAGCAGTCCATACCAACAAATTTACTTGGTGTCGATCCTCCTGTGATCTGTCGGAGACGTAAGCAACATGAAGATGACAAGATAGAAAGAATGGTGTGAAGATATGATTGATACTCAATCAAATCTTCAAGTGGGAGGTTGTCAGCATGCAGCCAAGCCTTAGCCGATTTCTTTGAAAAAGTAATTGGAATGAGCCCCACTTCACTTCAAATCACCGAAAGGCAGCAGCAAAGGTTGAAGAGTAAAAAGAAAACAAAATGGCGGGGCCCACTGCTACAGTAAAATATTAATATTTTATTATGCATAGTATTTTTCAAAAAACTATAAATAGGCCTCCAAATCCTTAAGGAAATCTAATCCCAGAACAACTTCTTATATAAGAAGAGTGAGAGAGAAAAAATAGAGAGAGTTTCTCTTTGTAAAGAAAGAGAGTTTGTAACTCCAGAGTTTTCTCCTCATAGTGGATTCTTCTATCCTTGCCCGTGGACGTAGGCAATCAAGTGTCGAACCACCAGAGTTTTCTCCTCATAGTGGATTCTTCTATCCTTGCCCGTGGACGTAGGCAATCAAGTGTCGAACCACGTAAATCTGTGTGTCCAAGTGGATTCTTCTATCCTTGCCCGTGGACGTAGGCAATCAAGTGTCGAACCACGTAAATCTGTGTGTCCAATTTTTTATCTCTACTTTTGCTTTACTATTGCTGCGATCCTGCTCTATTAGGCCCCGGGATTGTCCCAATAATGATTAGTGATTTAGTTTAAAACATGTAATGTATAATTGAGCACATCCCTGAATAAATGTAAGCGTATAGTCAAGAAGTGTCCAATGAATTGTTGGTGCGGGTATGGCTACGGGGTCATGCCGCGTACTGGTACGATTTCAGATAGATGTACCAGGTTACTTAGAGGATTAGTATGCTTATATGGGCCATGCCTTGTGGCCTTTGAGCGCATATCTGTTTGTCAAGAGTGCTTATTTATTCTTCAACTTCTCTATACTAATATTTTAATAAAGAGAAGAAGAAGTATTAAATGATCCAGTGGTCTTTCAACTATGTAACTTCTTAGTTTTGTTAAACATAAAGAGGATTTATTTTTGTAAAATCTGGTAGCGGTAAATGCAAGTAAGAGCTGATATGTGGCTTGAGCAATCTTGGGAGCACAACAAAGTTGAGGAATAAGTGTTAAATGTAAGTCTTATTCAAATAGTACTATATCTCGAGTATTTTATTGAAGATATATTGGTGGTGCACTTCTTCCACCATGCTTCTAAACTTCAAATTTGGGGATTGTTCAAGTAAAAAACTCTTTCATATTTCTGTCCTACTTATTACTTATACAGCCAAGTCAATAACACAGCACTATTTTCTTCTTCTTGTCTTCGTTTGAAAATATGCCCTTTTCTTGTCGAGAATAACCAGTTCGATAATGCTTGCACCAATTTTCTTGAAAATGTCCCTAGTCATATACAGATTTCTAAAATCTTGATCTGGGATGCACTCTTTATCTCATTGTTGTTTATATAATTATATCATAGGAGATCCCGCTTAAGATACATGTGATATTTATATATGCTTTTCATCTTAGAACCTATAAGGTGCATATGCTCTATCCCGCCAATTTATTTGGAACCTTGAGCTTGGTGCACAACTCAATGTAATATCAAACTTGACTTCCATCTTGAGTTCCGTTTTACACAGGCAAGGCTCTGCTCTATTGTGCATGGCCTTGATCGAGCCTGACCTTATTTTGTGATACATGTTTACGTACAGATAGGTATAATCTTTATGAATCCAACTTTTGATTTGTCAAATCTTAGGATATGTCTAATCTATTGTTCATCAATGACGGTAGTGATGACAAACATCAACTTATATAGATATGCAATAGTCAAAAATGCAATAGTCCAATCCCCCACGACCGTATTATCTACCACTGTGCAAGCAGTGTCTTCTCGTGAAGTGCATCTCTGTTTTTAGATTAGGAGGATAAGGAAAGAATAGTGTCAATAGAAGTACTACGGATTACATTCTTTTAGTTGCACATATATTCTTAATTCTTTTCGAGTATGTGTACAGTTACTTATACAGGTATTAAGGCTTTTCTCTTATGTGTCGTTTACATGAGAACTCCACATAGGAATGTAATTTCAGAAATTCAAATAGTTCATAAGGATTACAAAATAATTCTTGGATCCATCTGCATCTAGGCTTCTTCATTTGTCCAGGAGATCTTTCTGTGAAAACCATGTAACTGTTGGAAGCCTTAGTTTTTTACTAGCACCAAGAGAAAGTGAACATCTTTCTTTATCTCGTAGGTGGATCAATATGTCTGAACCTAGAGTAGACGTTTTCCAAGTATCAACAGGATTTTTTTTTTTTTTTTTTTTTTTTTTTTTTTTTTTTTTTTTTTTTTTTGTGCAAGTTGATATGCATGAGCAACCTTTTGCATATCATGAGCAGTTTTTTGTTATGCAAGGTAAATGGCATATTCACAGTTGCTGGGGCTATTACTCTGCTGACTGGTTTTGACCAGTCTAGGAGAGAACAAACATCTATTCATTCCATCTACACAATTCATGATGTTGGGTGTATAGTTTTAAATAGGCAATGTGGCTTAAGACCTCTTGGATTTACACTAGTGTGGTGTTTTTGTCACCCTCAGGGATGTGTTCCATGTTATGATTATATTCACCAAAATCATTTTTCTTTTTAATTTTTCGCCTTTGATAGGGAGTGAAAAGTGAGTGGTCCAAAATTAGAAGTGGATGTTAAAGGGAGTACAGTTATTTGTGGCATTCATATTGGTCTCTGCATTCAATTGTTTCTTTATTGGCTTATTCAATATACTTTCATATTCACATTCATCATTGTGAGAGGGTGTGTGTGTTGGAAGCACTGATATTTGGATTCAAAGTTTGCGCTTAGCCTTTAGGTATAGGTTTATGTCATTACTTCTGATATTTGGAAATGAATGTTAGCTTATGTAATGTTTACAATTGGATTGCTGAATTTATGTGGTGAGGAATATGATGGCGACATATGGCAGGCTGAACGCTACATTGCTATGTTTGTTTGAACTAAAATTTTTAAATGTTTTTGATTGAAGAATTTGTGATGAAGTATCTAGAATGAAGTTAATTACGCGTGCAATGGATTTTCTCATCTTCAATGCACTTTTCTTTTCAGCCATTGCAACAGTCGTCACGATTGCTGAGATTCTAAAGAACAATGGACTTGCTGTTGAAAAGAGTGATTCTCTTCACTTTTCCTTTGAGTTGATATTTTCAATTGATTATTCATTTCAAGTAACTCTTATTCTTACTAATACTCTTCTGCTGCAGAGATCACAACTTCCACTGTTGATATGAAGGATGAATCAAGAGGGCGATCCATCCAGAAGGCTAAGGTCAGTGAAGAGTTCGTGTATTTGTGTAAGATGCTTGTATTCTAGTTTCAACACAATTATGCTAGTGTACTAACCTCATTTACGGGCCCAGATTGAGATTTTACTAGGGAAGTCAGAGAAGTTCGATGAGCTAATGGCTGCCGCTGCTGAGGAAAGAGATGCAGCAAATGCCGAGGAATAAACTAAGAATAAATGTGTTGCTTTTGCTCCAGATTAGCATCGTGTATTGTTTACTGCAATTGGTAGATTTCTGCTTAATCTAATTTTGAGAGAAGTTGGTCAAAAAAGTTCGGCCTTGTGGCCATTGTATTAGTGACTAACACCATGGCTTATTGTGTCGGAGATGGAAGTATAGATATTTATTTTGTATGACTGATTGAGGATTGGTGTTTTCATATCTCGGTTAAGAACATCCGGTGCCATTTTCCTCCAATTTTGTTGCCTGTTTCTGGACATGTTCACTCATGAATGTCATTATGTGTTCGATTAGATTTATCGTTAGCTATCTTTGATTAGATTTATCGGCAATTAGCTTCATGGGGACGTAATAATCATAATAGTGTAGAAGCTTGAGGTACTTTGCAATATGGACTTTTTTCTAGTTTTGCATTTGTGATTTTAATTCCAGGTACGTTGGAATTTACAATTTCATGTTTTGTTCTCTTGCATACACCGTTTAGTTTCATGTGGATTCTCAATCATGCTTGATTAAATGAAGAGCAGGAGAAGGATTAAAAATGCAAATCTAAAATGTTTTCATGGTGGAATCCACAACTTAAATCAAACACTAAAACAATTATAAACCTTGAATTGTTGACAACTCATATATTGAATGTGATTCCAGGCGCGAGTCACAAAAGAAGCAGCTTAGTAGTGTTACTATCACATGTTATAGATGCAAAGTACGCAAAATATTTGTCATAATATGAGATGAATTACATGTAATTACAATGAACACAATTTTGATTGGAGAAACCTTATTTTCCCGTGATAGACTTCAATCAAGATTTTGAAGAGGTTTCATATTTGAATTTTGCAATTAAGATCGATTTAAAATAGTGATAAATCTGAGATGTTGGGGGAAATTGACTTTTGAAATGTCAAATAACAAGATCTAATAAGAATTTGACGCGTAGACATTTTATCTATTTTGTTTTTCTTTTTTAACGAAAAGTTTCTTTTTGTGTTGCAAAATAACTGCTTTGTTTCTAGATCAAGATTCTGTTTGGCAAAACTAACTGAAAGCTGTGAGATTATAGCTGAAAGCTGTGAAATTATAGTTGAAAGCTGATAGGTGTGTAGCTAGCTGATTGACTAGAGCTGTTTGTCAAAAGTAGCTGTACAACTCGCTTAAATTTATTAAATGACTAAAAAGGACATGTAATATTATTAATATAAAATTAGAATTATTAGGGGCAAAACGGAAGAAAAAAATTGGCAGCTCCTTCCCAAAGACAAACGCTACTTGAGGTAGCTTTCCAAAAGCTACTTGCAAAAGACACAATCTCCAAAATAATCTTCTCCTATTTTTGGTCACCAAACAGCTCTACTAGCTTATTGACCAAGTCAATAAGACACAATCTCTTAGATAAGACACAATCTCTTGTTGCTAAACAGTGCTCAAGGCTCTGTTTGGCAAAACTAGCTGAAAGCTGCGAGATTATAGCTGAAAGCTGTCAAGCTAGCTGAAAGCTGTAAAATTATAGCTGAAAGCTGATAGCTGTGTAGCTAGCTGATTGACTAGAGCTGTTTGGCAAAAGAAGTTGTACAACTAGCTTAAATTTGTTAAATGACTAAAAAAGTCATGCAATATTATTGATATAAAATTAGAATTATTAGGGGCAAAAACGGAAGAAAAAAATTGACAGCTCCTTCCCAAAGACAAACGCTACTTGAGATAGCTTTCCAAAAGCTACTTGCAAAAGACACAATCTCCAAAATAATCTCCTCCTATTTTTTGTCACCAAACAGCTCTACTAGCTTATTGACCAAGTCAATAAGACACAAGCTCTTAGATAAGACACTTTTTTTGTTGCCAAACAGTGCCCAAGTCTAAGCATCGAGACACCAATAAAGGATGCGGATTTTTCTAGAAAATAAAAGAAAAATAAAGCTAATTTGTACCTCTTAAATGTCCTAGAATCAAATAAATTTATTAATTACTTTTCATGCATCAAAAGGCAATATAAAAAAATTCAAATAATGATATTGTTAAATATGGACTCGGATCCTCTCTTATTAGGTGGTAATTGAAAAAAAGAAATCATAAAACATACATCACATTTTCTACAAAGCTCAATAGCAAATTGGGTTCACAAATTTCTTGACAAGAGTAAGCTTTAGAAGCCATTTACGTAACTGACAAATCAAGAGTTTACTACAAAATGTTGAAACGTCTCGAGAGATTAGTGTAATTTACCCTATAGTACACAAGTTAATAAAGAAATATAATATTATTTAAGGTTTCCATTCTCATGGAAGCTCCATAATTTTTCATGTGGGTTCTCAATCATGCTTGACTCATTCTACAAAGAAGGAAACGATTAAAATGTCATAAGATTCGTTGATTGCGGCATAGATCGATGAAAAGGTCTACCATGATAAAAGGATACAATTCAACAGTTTTAGTAACCGCAATAAACACAAATTTGATTGCAAGAAGATTTATCTTTCTGCCAAAAACTCCTGTCGTCTTCAATATGTCGAACGATCCGCTTTCGTATCGATACGACGACTAAAATTGTCCCAAGGTGTCATTGTCATGTTTAACCTTATAGATACATGTGTTCTAGGTCTAGAGTTAGTGAGGATCTTTAGGTGAGATTGAGAGCGAGTTTCTTGGGGGTTGTGTGAGGGTAGCACCAAAGATTTTGCTTTTGTATTTGTGATATAAAGAAAACTCGAATATCTTTCCGTGGGCGTAGACACTTGACGAACCAGGTAAATCCTCGTATCTTTGTATATTGTTTACTTTTCTTCGATATATTGCTTTTCTCTTCGTTCGAATGTTGTTCTCAGTGTTTTCTACCGTCGAGGTGATCGATTGCCATTTTAAGATGGTTAAAGGAAAGAAATATAATGAGTTACTCCAATACAAGACTATTATTAGCTACCATATATAATCTGAAAGGAGAGAAATTCAAGGTTGTATAAGCCTGAACCTCACCCTCCTGGCTAGGATGTTCATAATTGTGCATGTACAAGAGAATGATCACCCAGGAAATTTTTATATGAAGATTTGTTGCTGATCCTAGCAATTTGGGAGTGTCTTTTCAAGTGAGATATTAAACCCGGGAATGGCTTGGGTATATTTGTAAAGCTTGTAGAGCAAGGAAATTTTACTTGCCTTTACTAAGAAAAACGTCATTCGCAGTTTAACCGGAAGCCCTCTATATAAGTAACACAACAATAGTCTCTCTACAGGTTTATGAAGCAGAATTGGATTCCCTTGACTATCAGAAGTTAATTAAGAGACATTATTACTGGATTGGATTCGGATCCTCTCCGCTATCAAGAAAGCAAAGCAGTAGAGAGACCGCTATTCTATCATAATTATTAATTATTTATTTGATAATTAAAAAAAATCTTTAAGTATGAATTAGGAATTGGTGCAATTCATAATGTATGGTGAGTATTATCTTTAAAAAGAAGCTCAACTACCTATTCAATGATCAACGGTTATTATTAAAACTAGTAGTCTCTCCACTATTTTTTTTTAAGTGAAGATAATCCAAATCCCTATTTATAGTCATAAAAATTCACTGCTTAGTTGACGGTTTTGATTCATCTTAAGTAAAAACAAAAACAATTATAACATGGGGATATGACAAATGTTAAAATGAAACACAATCATCCTCTAGACAATAAACAATTTAGTGATTAAAACAAAAGTAATAGGCCCTCCCACTAATTTTTTTTTACAGTGGAGAGGATCCAACCTAAAGAGAACCGCATTCTGAATCAGAACATAGGAAGAAATATTGTTTCACTTTTCTTTTTCAATGAGAACATAGGAAGGGGCCAGATTCCACCCAAACCTATACAGTATATATTAATAAAAAGAATACAACTTTATTTCAGTCTCCACTCTTACCGAAGCTTCATATTGTTCCGTTTTCCAAGAATAACTGTAGCCCGAGCAATAAATCATACATAATGAAGGATAAAAATATCTAAAAATCCTTTTTTGCATAGGATAAAAATTTGCCAGCAATGAACTTGGGGGGTTACAGGTGAAGGATTCCTGTTTGCAAAGACAATTGGAGTCGGCAGACAGCGCGGTGATTTAGTTATTGGTTGTTCTTTCGAAAAAGAGGGTGGAAGAGTCGTACCCTTTCCATATGTAGAGGAGTCTGCATTTCTATCAATCGTGATACCTGGACAACAATTCTCATCTTAATACACGACTCATTTTTAATGTGCTACATACGAGTATCAGTAATCAGACATGACTCCAGATCTTTTGTGACCAAAACTTGTTTCCTGATACCGGTCTATGCATGCAGTGCCAAGAAAAAGAGGGGTTCGAACTGTGAAAGGAAGCACTAGAGGTCAAGATATGACAAGGGATGAGGAACTTTAGATTGAGAAAGGGCTAAGGGGAAGCAGAAGGTTATATAGCAAAATCTTGGCCCCAGCCTTGATACTAGGCGAATCAGGGTTGCAGCCGATGCAACAGTTCAAAACAAAAGGGTAAGCTTAGGTTGGGAAGAGACTTTCCTGAAATTTGAATTAGCAACTTTTAAAAATTTCTGGTAGAACTGCATTGAACAAAGTTAGATCTGGCTTCTCATGAACAAACTGCTTCCGGGAACAATGGAACTGTACAGGTATGCACCAACTAGACACAAGACAACAACCGTGATCACAATAAGACAGATGACACAAAAAGTACAATTACTACTGTAATATTGTGTGATTTTTTTCTTAAACACACAAGTATAAAGTTTAAAAATTAGTCCCAGGTTTTGAAAAACATTTTTTGCTCAAATCCTCTTAACACCTCCCAATTATTGAAGCACCTAGTATAAGACCAGTCGATATCAGGATTTGGATCTAGGTCTTTTCCTTCAAGGAATATTATGGAGTCAACAGGCTTCCTCCATTGGTGTGGGTAGTGATTCCTAAGTCCCTTGATTAGCAATGGAGAGCTATAGCCAATGGATTGAAGGAGGTGATAACATAGTAAGGAAAAATGTCTGCTTGGATAAAACAGTACCTTGAAGGAGGCCATGGTGGAGGAGGGAAATCATGATGATTTTGAAGTTAACAAATTTATTTAGATATTGTTTTCACTACTAAATTATCCTTTATCCACAGCTAGCTATCCACTTCTTTTAGATCCCATGAGTCTACATGAACAGTGGCAGGACGCCCAAAGGGAGAAATATAGTTCAGGCAACAGAAGATGTTGTCAAACATAACCCTAATTTAGTTGTCCTTCAAGCATTCATATCAAATAAATGAAATAAAAAGAGTTTGGAATGGAATTTGATAGAATGGAATTTGATACTTACTGCTCGCTTGAAGGCAAACATTTCTTCTTGGCCAGATAATAAAGATACTATCTCAGCAGGGGAGGGTCCAGAGCCACTACTACCTGTGGCTAGAACATCCCGTCTTAGTTTGCCACTTTCTGCCTCGGTTTCAAACTGAAAACTGCATATTACAATAGCAGCCATGACATACTCAATCAGTGCTTTACAAACGTAATGAGTAGTCTTTTAAATGGACACCCACAATTTCAACAAGACACTGGTTCACTTTTTTACATCTTTAACAATGTAAAAATGCCATCTGACATCACAAGCATGGAAATTTCCAGAGAAATAACTTTGAAACCAGATGTTCAAATTACCTCTCTAAATCAAAAAGTGTTCCCTCGTCAGTTCCTTGAAATAAATCATCAATTGAAGAAGCAGCTAGACAGACAAGGCAACAATGATGATTATACAACTCATCAACCAGAGTGATGAACCTCCTTGCCTACAGAGTTAACATTGAAAGTTCTACAATTACAACCAATATTTTAAAATAATACTATGGAACAAGAACTGAAAGCATAAGATAGAATTTCAGTTAGTTAATGATACAGATATTAAAAAGATAACAAATTACAGACGTTCTCAGAATACTTTTTTATTTCCTTTCTTTTTCTGTTTTTTTGAGTAAACACTTGGATTAAAATCAATTTTATAATAACTTCGTAATTTTTACCTTTCATGTCAATTTAACTTTAGATATCTATTAATTTTAAGTAACTTTTTAGTTTGCTATATTTTGGATAAGCACTTCGATCAGTATCAGTTTTATCACAATTTCCTAATTTTTTATGTATGTTTCAGATACATCATGCAACTCTTGAATTTAGATAAACATTAAAAATTTTGTTCTCTTAGATAAATAAATATTTTTCTTAAAGGAAAAAAAATTAAATATCTGCAGTTACACAAAAATCTAATATACTTACTGTATTGTTAATTTTCTACAAAGCTTCTCTCTCAAACATGTACAGCACATGGCAGGAAAGCTAGCAAAATATAACAAGAGATAGTATTATTGTACCCTTAAAATAAAGAGTCTGAATTCTATTGATCTTCCCCCCACCCTTGTGTTGGCCTTTAGCAGGCTAGGCCAGACCCATTGAGTTCACAGATAAAAATGTCTGCTAGTTATTTTCAGCTTCTGCTACCCCCAGTAGAATGTGCTGGCTATTAGTAGGCCTAACATTATTTTAGATTTTAATAGGGAAACCTTTTAACATTTTACCAGAACAAATATATTATACTCTCTGATATCTGATATAAGGACAGAAACACCATGAAGAAGAAGAATGGTCAAGAATATTGAAATTTTAGTGAATAATGACAACAAAAAGGAGGATGATACCTTGTCTCGAATCCTCATGCTCATAACAGGAATATTTGATATGAAAACTGTGTGATAATTCCTAGATATTGCAATATAATCTGCTGCACCAACCTGAAGAAGAGCAATGTAAATATATATATATGGAGTTATGGACAACTAGGAGTAATATATAGATCATTAGATGCAGTACTTCACAATTTCCCTTCTCTTAGTTTAGTCTATACATGATTGTTTACTAGGAACGGAAAATATAAGTGCAAACCAAAGTCAATATACAATAGATGAGTTAGTCAGTATCCACAATTGAACGTAGGCTATACGCAATTCTAAGTAAATTCTTCATCTTTCACCTTATGCTAATTCCAAGCAACAGTGATATACAACTTTTCACTTTCATAACAGACATTAGGTTTAGTTTTTTTTTATAAATGTTGGAGCTCAAAGCATGAACATGTCCAGAGATTAGTTCTCATGTTTATATCTAAATGAGCTAGAGAAAAATTAGATCGTTCTTAAATATAGATTATTTAGGAAGAAGAACAATCCTTGAGTAAAACTAAATACTTAGAAAACTTATGCATCTGTTTTAGAATTCTTTGTAAACTTCTTCAAAAATAATATCATTAGAGGTTGTTTCACATGGTTGGCTGAGCAATCTAGGATAGGTTTCCAAAAGATCTAGTAATGTAGTCCAGTGCCTGTAGCATTGATTTCACACTTGCAAGCTGGGCATCATGCCATGACAGCTTATAAAAGAACTCATAAACTACCTCGCGCTATATTAAAAAAAGTGAACATATTACCGGGCGTCCACAGAGATATTCAAAGTCAAATCTTGCTACACCGTTGCAGCTTTCAGGAACATCCAGAACTCTGTTTCCGGAACAAAATTGAGCCTCAATAAATTGGTCAGCTTTTACTAGAAGAAAGATGTACACAATTATTATCAATTACCTCCCAAACATCACAGGAATAGCAGTGGAAGTAATAGTTCCTCCAGATTGGTTTATGACATTATTCCACATGGCCTCAAAGTCTCTGCGAGCATCAGAATTATGAGGCCAGAAGTAGTAAACCTGCAGTTTATATGCGTTTTGTCAGAATTTTCCGGAGAATGCTAAATGCAAATTTGACTATTTACAATAGTTTATGCTGGAAATTATAGGATAAGTATGAATTAGGAGTGTAGGAAATATGCATTTGAGATGTAGCCTATTTGCATCGTGGCAGCATAGTAAACTTTTAAATTACCTATTTGTACCGCGGCAGCCAATAATTAAAACGTGTAACACATTTGTATCACACCAGCATATTAAACTTAAATAATAAATCTTTTTTTTCTTCCATCTTTGTAAACATCCAAAAGGTAATATTTAGAACCTTTTCATCCAGATGCAAATGGTGTACTTGAGATGTAGCCACTTGTCACAAATAAAGAATATTCTGTTCCAATTAAATTTCATAAGTTGAGATAGCTCAGCATCTGAGTATGTATGCCCCAACATTACTAACGGATTCAACTATCTGCCTAAGAGTAAATTGCTGATTTTGCTAGAGAACTCCATAGATTTGATAGATTCTGCTCAATGCTAATCGAGGAATGCCACTAATGTAATGGTCCAAAAACCTTCAGATACAACTGATCCAGGTCTAAAGTTATTACATTCTAGTATAGAATAAGCTACTCATGGATGTAGAGTGCACTGCCTCACATAAACCAGTCAATTTACTGGAACTACTAGGTGAGTGCAAATAAAATAGCGCACAATGAGAAAAACAATGCAAGCATTAGCATGTCCATATATAACAGTAATAGATGGCAGACATATCAAAGAAGAAACCACGTAATGACATTCTTCCAACAGACCTGATTTGTTCTATCATTTGTTATTATGCGACGATAGTCAATCTCATTCCCAACAAGGATTTTGCAACAATTTTCTTCCAACTTGGCTAAAAATGATTGAAAAATATCTCTCTGCATACCATCCTACAAGTAAAAACAAAAATGAATGTTAAGAAGCTTAAGATGAACCAAGCGCATGCTTGGAGATCTAATAGCAAGCATCATTGTCAAGCATCAACGCTTAAGCAAATATAAATATAAGAGTAATGCCAGGCCATTGATAAACAGATATCCAGTCATTATTTTTCTAGATACTGAGGTCTAAGTAAAGTGCGTTTCTATGCTTGAGAAAGAATAAATATAGCTAGTTGTTTTAATGCTTGAAAAGCCAAGACACAAATTAAGCGTTTGACTGCTATGAATTAGTCAGAAAAATCTAAAGAGGGAGTCTTGTTGAAGAAAAAGGTTGTTTTTCAATATCTCTTTCCATGAATCATTTTTTGGCAGAATTTCTATCCGACAAGTTAATTACTCAAGAAAAAGTCATCAAAAGATAACACTGGATTCTGAATAAAAAACGTGTGGTATCTGTTAATGTGTTTCATAACTAGCTAGCTCATTATCCTAACTGGTGTTTTTGGGAGTAACTCTAGAGCCCAACGTTTTCCTTGCTAGAAATTTTGCACAAGTCAAGAGGAATGACAACATGTGATGCAGGACGATCGTGGACCCTCCATGTGATGCAATCAGGATTTATTAGATTCTTTACTTTTTTGGTAAAGTTTTATTTTATTCTATGTAATTTTCTTCTTCAGTTAGAATTTATTTAGGATTTGATTTTGAGATCTCTTTCTACTTTACTTAGGATTTTATTTGATTTTATCTTTTAGTTTTGTTAGGTTTGGATTTGATTAGGATTTTGATTTGTTTTCTTAACTATTCAAATGTTTTCTTTTTCTATAAAAATAAGAGATGTAATCTCCCATGAGGAATAGACATTGATTAATAAATATATTGAGTTATGCAAATCCACTCTTGAGCATGTGAGGTGTTCTTGGTATGTGATTTGCCTCTTTGTGGTGTGAAGCCTAGCGAGTTATTAAATCTCTCCTCTTTACAAATTCCAATGCCCTCCCCATCCTAATCCATAACTTG